CCAGAGCACCGGTTGGACACTGGTCCATGAGCCCGAATCACCCCAGCAGAAGTTACACAGAAAAAACGATGGCAGACCTGACATTCTGCCTTGTCATCCGCCATATTATTATTTTATTTAATTTTATAATTATTGTCTTTCATTTAGAATCACTTGATGCTCTCCAGGTTGAAGTGTATGAGCATTGCAACAAGTGGCTACAAGCACTGCCTCTTTTCACAAGAGTACGTTATCATCATCATCATCATTATTAAAAAAATAAATAAATCATTATTATTATTATTATTATTATTATTATTATTTTATTTATTTTATTTTCTTCCAGTTAATGATACTCCAAGCTATGACCACATGTGTTCCAAACATTAATGACCCTCCTACTTCTCACGATGGACCCCTTTGGGTCTGGTGGTTCGTTAATGCCATGCCCGTAACTGTACGAAGCAAGCTAGAGTTTCTGCAGTGTACCTCATTGAGGGAGCGGCTGAGACTACTCAAGGAAATACTGCCACTCCCATCTTAATTAACTACCTGTTAATTAACTAGTTGTTAATTAATCACTGGTTAATTAACTGATCTGTATATTATTGAGTTGTTGTGCATATTTATGTGTTTTGTGTTATTATTTATTTATCATAACTGCTGCATCATTAATTAATAATATATAATTATTATTATTATTATTGTTTTTCAGTCTCGTTTGATTATATTTCTTTTCTCCATTTCTTCCATTTCTTTGAGTACAAAAGCAACACTGTATCTTAGCTCATGAAACCGGCTGGCTGATACCTAAAAAATAATAATAGAGATATGTACATGCATTTCAGCTATCAAAAAAATAACACTTTAATTTTTTAGCTTCTTTATGACCGTGCATGGTCTTTGGAGCAGCTTTAAAACTTCCAATTTTGATTGAAATCAGCTCAAACTTTCTACTCAACATAAGTACATGTAGAAAGGTTACCTCAAAAGTTTTAATGTTTCCGTTTGATAGTTTCATTTCCATCAGAACCGATGGCTCCAGGACCCGATTGAGTGAACTGAAAAAAATAAGTTTCCAATTCAATTTTTAACTTTTAATATTACAAGTGATGAGAAGAAGTTCTGACCGACTCCCTCTCCTCCTAACCTGTTTGATATCGTGACGTCCACTCTCCATTTCAGAGACTCAAGTTGAGGGAATCGAACCATCTTCTCTTTTAAAGAATCTTTGATTCTCTGACTTCTACACAGAAAAATGTAGAATTTGAGGTGAAAATTACCAAATTTCTAAAATAAAATAAGATGTTATTTTGTACCTTTTTCCAAATACTAAGCTGCTAATATCTGTAATAACTTCTGCAGGAATCCTATTATTAATTCATTGATCATTAATTAATTAAATTAAATTAAGGTATTGCATTACTTAATCTGAGCCAAATCATCCTTGAAATTCTAAAATAAAATAAATTAATAAATAAAGTAATAATCCGGGTCTACCTCTTGCTTCAAGTTAGGATGACGTATAGCTAGTTTTACTAAAAGGGCCAGTCCAGAGTAGACGATCCTGTTGGTCTCTTCAGTTGATTTAGGAGTAGAGAGAGAGAGGAAGGACTCAGAGAGAGAAGAATCAACAGTAGAAGAAGAAGCCTCTAATGACTGACTCACAACTAATATGGAGGGAAAAGAGTACATTATAATACATATTGAATAGATCTACTAGTTAATAAATATACATTTCAGTATGTTCTTGACAGTGGCAGCATCACTGCCTTTCATGGCCTTGAACATCAGTTTCACTTCGTCTGGTACTCGGGCGCCATAGAATGGGGTCCTCTCAGCTGCTAATGATCCACTACCGCCGCCAGAACTGGGTCTAACCTGTACGAAACTCATAATTCGTCTTCTCTCTTGCTTGATTTCTTTAATTTCACTTTCTTGCTGCAGTGAGATTGAGCCACACCCATAAAGCAACTAGAAAACCACGCCCATTAATTAATTTATTTTGTTCACGCATGCTCATTGCAGCTTCCCTCGTGTAGTCCCTTTCTTTTGGTTAACAATATGTCTACCCTGAGCAAAAAAAGGAAGGTGAGTTGTATCTGTATTAATCTTGAAAACGGTCTCCATGTATAGGAAACTGTATCTTTTAAAAAACATAATAAATTATTATTTTTTTAGTATTATCATTGTTTGTAAATGAATTCCCACTATCCGCAGCTAATTACTGTATTACCTGTCCTTTCTTTCTCTATCTCTTCCTCAGTTTGTAGCTGATGGTGTTTTTAAAGCTGAGTTAAACGCTTTCCTTTCCAAAGAGTTGGCCGAAGATGGCTACAGTGGTGTGGAGGTCCGTGTGACGCCCACTAGAACAGAAATTATAATTCTGGCCACGAGGACACAAAATGTCTTGGGAGAGAAAGGACGTAGAATACGTGAGCTGACGGCCGTCGTTCAGAAGAGGTTTAGCTTCCCTGAAGGAACCGTTGAAGTGAGAAGACCGCTTTTATTAGCATGCATTGAGATATTGATAAAATGCTAAATAATAATTAAAGTGAAATGTAAATTAATGAGTTCAATAATAATGAGCTGATCCCAATGACCCAATATCTTTAAAATGCTACAAAGTAGCCATATTTATTAGGTAATTACCAGCCTCTTTTCCCTCCCTCCCTCCATTAGTTGTATGCAGAGAAGGTTGCTGCTAGGGGGCTCTGTGCCATAGCCCAGTGTGAGTCATTGAGGTACAAACTGATTGGAGGACTAGCCGTTAGGAGGTGAGGACCAAATACAAGAATTGTGTTGTTATTATTATTATGATAAAGCCACTCAAGTTGAAAGTTTTTCATTTCAAAATGTGAAAATTTTCTTGCCTTTTTGACAAAAGTCCCTGTACTATAGTACGGGGACTTGAGCTCGATTTTGGAGAAACTTTAAGAATTAGTTTAAAAAATCCAATTTTGATCAGAATCAGCTCAAACTTTCTACGCAACATAAGTACATGTATATGCATCAGAAAATGTAATAAAAATGGAGAATTCACACCTTCTTATTTTTGGCGAAATTTGGTCCAAATCCCTGTACTATAGTACAGGGACTTTGGCCTGATTTTGGAGAAACTTTAAAAATTAGTGAAAAAAATCCAATTTTGATTGTAATCAGCTCAAACTTTCTACGCAATATAAATACGTGTATATTCATCTAAAAATGTAATAAAATTGTCAAATTCTCTCCTTTTCAATTTTGGCAAAATTTGGCCCATGACCATGTACTATCTATAGTATAAGGACTTTTGTCCAATTTTTAAGCAACTTTAAAAATTTGTAGAAATCCGCTAGGACCACTACTATTAGTGTAATGCTATTTACTATTATCCTAGAGCTTGTTATGGCGTGTTGAGGTTTATAATGGAGTCTGGAGCTAAAGGCTGTACTGTAATAGTCTCTGGTAAGCTGAGGGGGCAGAGGGCAAAGAGTATGAAGTTCACTGATGGTCTCATGATTCATGCTGGCAACCCAACCAGACACTACATTGATAATGCAGTGACACACGTTCACCTCAGACAAGGTAAATATAATGAATGATGGTGTATGTAATTTGTATGATTTCTGTATTTCACCTAATAAATGAGGCTTAAAACTACATGTAGCTTTTGTGTATACATGTACATACATGTAAAGAATATGGCCTTAACTTATTCTGTTGCTGCTGATTTCTGTTGATGAAAGAATTAAGTCTGGTTTAAGTTTGCCACAAAAGGCAACACAGAATCCAAATTTGACCAATTTTTTGCCAACTTCGTAGCACTAATAGATTGGCCCACACATTTTATACTACGTTTACACTACAGGAGTGGGCCAAACCAGGCTGAGCTGGCCCTGCTGTACTAACCATGCTGGCCTAGTTTGGCCAAGTTCACTTCAGCTCAGTTTGATTACTGCTTACACTATCAAATGAAACTGTGCCGGCCCACTTTAAACAGAGCTGGCTCAGTTAAAGAACCTAGTGTAAATGTATAATGCTTGTATGTGAACTGTGAACCTTACCTGGCCCTAAACTACAATAATGACTTTTATTTTTAATTTATTTCATGGCATAAAAATGTGACATATTCTACAAGTAACAGTCTCCAGTGTTGCTGTGTTTTTCATTGATTCTCCTCTCCCTCCTCTCCCTTTATTAAAAGGTGTACTAGGTATCAAAGTTCAGATCATGCTTCCCCACGACCCCACTGGTAAGATGGGGCCTCGTAAGCCCCTCCCTGATCAAGTCAGTGTGGCTGAGCCAAAAGAAGAGACCCATTATGCAGAGGCTTACTCGGAGCAGAAAGGAACAAAGCCTGATTTTACAGCTGCGCCATAACTAGTAGAGAGGAGGGAGTGGGTGTGGTTGAAGGCGTGTACTTTATTCACGCACTAATGATATTACATAATTGTTAATCAATTGAATTAATAAATTATTTGATATAATTAAATTAATTCTTATGTGTGGCAAAAATGTGATTGGGTTTTCACTAATGCAGGTTTAAACTATAATTATCATGAATAATTCCCTTTGATGTTTACAAGTTAATGAGGGATTAAAATCGTATAACCTCCCTGCTGAGCCTGCTCCAACTCAATAAACAAAAAATTTTAAGTTGAAATTGTTTTGCAAGTAAACATTGAATTAGCAATAATTATGATTGTCAGCTGCCAGATGGTGATCTCTATCAGCAAGTGGCTCATTAGCTCTTCTGGATTGAGCCTAGCTCTTCCTTGACAGCGGACCCGACGGTCTCTATCATCCATGAGGCTACTGTGTTGGTCAGTCTTCTCTCTCTTCAGGAGTCTCAGCATCCCTATGAGCTCTAGCTGCTGCAAGCCTGGCTTCTCTTGCTTCAGGAGTCTCGGTGTCTCTACAAGATCTGTCTGTGACTCTTCTAGGCTAGTTTAGCATAGAATCTACACAACCAAAAGTTTGGAGTCTGAATCAGGATGATACTAGCCTGAATCAGTCGTGAAATCAGTACTGGATCATGTATTTTGGGCAATCAGTCACGACACAATCATGAAAAGGTTTTGCACTGGTTCAGGCCAGAGCATCAGGCATGATCAGCAATGATACTTGTCAGGACTGTACCAGTACTGATATCAGACTTGATTCATTCATTTTGAGCAATATTGCTGATTCAGCATGATTACTTTTGGTTGTGTAGCCTGGCTACTACTCTCTGGGCCACGTGCTCTTCAATCTTCAGGGGTAAGTCACGTGATAACACCATGAATATATCTTTAAAATACCAATGAATATCTTCAAATACCAATGAATATAGTTTAATTACGTTATACACCTCCTAGTTGGGATTCATACTATTTTAATCGCTCCTAGTCAGTGTATAACCTATATTTGTTAATTTGCTCTATATACCATATATCACAGTTTGCCTGTTATTTCAAACCAACTCCAATATAGACTATGGCCAGAACATTAGAGTTATCCCAGACGAATATTAATTTATGAGCACATTTCATAGAAAAAGTTTTCAAATGTTCAAAAAGTTATGTATGTCCACTGTAGTTATAATCATTCTCATGCTGATCAGTTTATTGATCTGTGCAGTATTAGCCAAATTCTTACTATTGGCAATTAAAGCAAGCTACATGACATGAACAAAAGGTCTTTGTATAGAGCTATGACTGTATTCGTAGAATTTCAACAGTTGAAGTGTCTACCAAGTTACTACACTATCTAACTTTCCAGAGAAATGAGTGCAAGTATAGAGTATATATACTTCCTTTAATGGTTGATGTAGCCAACTAGTTCATCTATACTACATACTTTATGAAGCAGATAATGCATATACTGGTAATACTGTTTGTTCTTTTCCCTTATTGAAGTAAATTGTAAACCAAATTGTATTGGGATATTTTCAGTCTGAACTTATTTTCATTATAGAATAGTGTTGTGTCAGTATAGTATGCCTCCTTTATAAGTCGTTCTCAGTATAGAGGCTATCATGCACATACATTCATTGGGTATTTGGGTTAGATTGTTGATCGTGCAAATTTATATATAATTTCATGAGTCATCATAAATCTCTTAATTGATACTCTACTACTCTACTTTGTTCACTTTGTTCTTGAAAATTTATGACATTTTATTATTAAAGCCAAGAATAATATTAATTAATCAAAAATGTAACATTTACAGTTAAGCAAAAGAGGCCTAAAGCAGCAAAAATAAACTGTGCATGTCCTATAGTGTTGCATGAGTCCTAAAGTTCTTGGCTTTTAGCTGATGAGCTCCGTTACTGAGCATCACAATAATGATACAGGTAACTGTCAGCATTCCTGATGGCATCATCTGGATTACTCTTGGCTAAATTCTTGCAATTAGTACGACCATAAGTAACATCATCAATGTAGCCATAAGCGTGGGCCCATTCATGAAGCAGTGTACCTTCCTTGCTTTCACCAGTTGTACTGCAATCGGTCGGATCTCCATAATAAACATCACAGAGGTACACAGTAGTGGCTCCCTTGTATGTATAGGCATAGTAGTTAGACTGGCATCGTGGACCATTGTTGTAATATGTGCAGACTTTGTTTGTTATTCCATCATTTATTTTCTGGTACACATCCTTAACTTTGTTTCCCCTTGTAGATGTGTATGTACCAAACCATCTAACATATATATTATTATTTCCAACTCCAGCTCTAGCTGTACGGGTTCCACCACAGAGCTTCTTATGAGCATCCAGTGTTTGACTGTTGTTCCTATCACCAACAAAACTAGCACTGCCACAGGCTTGGAGGTGGACAGTGTAATCAGCTTTTACGACTTCTTTTTTTGGTTTTAAGAGAATAGAAGTGTCTTCCAAATACATTTGAATGGATTCACGTACAAATGATTCCCTGAACTTCTTACCTGACAGATACTGTAAAGGTCTACTGTATTGTACAGTGTAGAGACCATCAGTATCAATGCTAAAGGCATCAGTGATTTGGACTGTTGCAGAAATACTCTCACCTGCCTTCAAGAGAACAAACTCATCCTTTGTAGGAGGGAGACGATGAATGATGATACCTTCATATTCCAGTGGACGACCGTCAAGAGAGACAGAGACAAATCCAGAGTTGAGTCCTTCGAGAGGAGTGTTACGTTTGAGTAGATAAAGATCCTCATTTGCATTGTTGGTAAACTCAAAAGAGCAAGCAACTGCGGAAAGAGCTTTATTACAAGCCATGTCAAGAGAGAGTGGCCAGCCATTAGCACTGCATGTACAAGAGAAAAGTAACATTGATTTGATAGTGTAGTAACATACCTGAGAGCACAGGTGAGGTAAGTAACCAGACAGAAGAGTGAGAGTAGAGTCTTCATGATTCCTTTCCTTGATAGACAGTATTCCTTGTTCTTGTGAGATAATTTCTTGTTTTAGTGAGAAGTGATTGACTGCTGCTGGTCACCTCCTTATATACTATTAGGTACCTCATTAATATTCATTAGCAATTAAGCAAAAACTGACCAATCAGAGGCTAGCTGCATGACATCATTATACTGAACAAAAGGTCTTTGTATAGACCTACTTAGAATTTCAACAGTTGAAGTGACTACCAACTACTTACTACGCTGTGATTGCTGTCTAGTTTTCCAGTGAAATGAGTATAAGTAGTAATTCACTTCCTCTAGACAATCAATGCTTACAAATTTTGAAAAAAATCAATACATTGCATAGTTGATTTAGTTATTTTTGCTTCTATTCTCTCACTGAAACAATATAATATGTGACTGAGAATTATTGATAGTAGTCAATAATCTTCAGTCAATAACCTCCTTGTATTGAAAAAATTATTGCACCAACTCCATTTAAAAGCTTCCCTCAATGAAAAAGATTTTATGTCCTAAAAGTTTTGTTATTTAGAAGCACAAAGTTATATATAGTACTGTAACACACCATGCAGGCTTTGTCTCATGCATACATGTTGATGTTTCTGCATGTTATTTTCATTAAATCTTTGATTGATTGCTTTTGGAACACTCCCACCCTTTCCCTTGACATTGAAAATTCATTGAATTTTATTATTAATTAAAGTATTTCTGAAGCCAAGAATGATATTAATTAATCAAAAATGTAGTAGTACATGTAAGCAAAAAGAGGCCTAAAGCAGCAAAAATAAACTGTGCATGTC